TAAAATGTTTGCGGAAACTCGTTTAGCGCCCGCCGTTGTGGTGGGCGGGCGCGCCGCGCTGCCTGTCTCGGGTCTTGTAGGGTTGCTGAATATTACCTTTTTAAGAAGACGCCGAAAAGAAAACGTTTTTTTTTCTAAATGGCTTCGCACGACTTGTGCATTTAGCCTATGTCAAGTGTTAAAATGTTTACAAATACTATAGCACTCGTGGTCAAAGTAATCAAGTCAAAGTAAGTGGCAGTCAAGTCAATCCCCCTTTCCCTATGTTTCAGTAAAAGTTTGGGGATTTACTGAAACCTCCCCGTGGACTTCTTGAGGGAACGTCGAAAGACACTTTCCGCTATTTTGTTTCACTTGCCAACACTTGTACATATTCCCGAACACTTAGTGGTTAATAATCCACCATTATTAGACACTAACATCCGCCACAACACAATTTTGTCAACGCCAAACAAGAAAAACAAAACTGCTAAAGTGACGCTTCCCGATCCCGCCAAAAAGTCCCAAATGAAAACGTTTGATGATATACCCTCTTCTAGCCTGACACTTGCCTCCGCTAGCATGAGCACGGTAATATGATATACTCGTATCTTTCGAGCTTGACTTTAACGTGACAGAAACCTTGATAATGATGTGTATCGTGGTGCTCATGCTACGAGGACTGGACTTACTGGCAGTTTTTATAATAAATTTTATTTAGTTTTATAAGTCAAACAGTAATGTTATGTATAAAATATAGACTGTTAAACACATAACCCTGTCTGCGCGTCGCGCTTCGCGCTCTTGCATTGCGCAGCCGGGTAAAAAAGAGTGCGCTTATGACCACACGACTGAAGAGAAACTTCTTAGCTCCACTGATCTGAAAAGCATAAACTATACCTGAAGATTTGTTGACAGAAAAAAAAAAACACCGATGGCGCCGCAAAAAAATCCGCTCTGTTCGGGATGTAATCCCACATCCCGATCCCCTATCAGAAGGAGGTACGGTTCAAATCCCGTCTGGTATCCGCCCGGATAGCAGAAGATGCGGATTCGAATTCCGTCTGAAACCAGAACCCAGTGTTTTTTTTTTCTAGTAATCTTGTCTATAGATTGGTACATCTAGCAGTTAATTGCTTTAAAATAAAAATACTATAATAAACATCCTAGGTCTGCTCAGGACATAGGGTCAGTAGTAACACGTGCTGCTAACTGGGTATTTTAGAACATTATTGGTGTTTGCATGCGCTCCAGCTTAAACCGGGTACTCATTAGCGAGCTGTAACCCTAACCGTTGCATGCACTGTAACCAACGTGTGTATACGTGGTTCGCTAACCTGCTGCAAGCGGTATGCGTGAGGTTTGCAGCGAGCCAACGTTTACAACTGAGCTACAAGCGTACACACTAGAACCTCGTAATGTACCACGCATGTTACGGTTACAGCTCGCTAATGAGCCGGGTACTCACCCGACCTTAAACAAAAAGCAACTAGCTTATCAACAGACGTGATCGTGGAGCATTTAAATCTTAATAGAATAAATATATATTTAAAAAAAATACAATCAACTTGAAGGCCTAAATCTGGCCGGAGCACTGGCAACTTTATTCAATAAATACAGGATTACATAAACTCAAAAATTACAGTGTCCTTTTAATTTAAGACATTTATTAAGATCTATCTGGAGATGTTTATCCAGTACTCTTTTTCTTTATACACCGTGAATTTTAAATTTAATTATGCAATTATTATATTAATTGTGCAATTATGAAACTTAACAATTTCAATTCTCATAAATTTATTCAAATAAAACTATTTTATGTATATACGTACGTAAAACGTATAATTATTCCATTATGGATATGTTTTTTTACAAATATTCGCCGTTTCAGAATATAAATTTATAAGCGATATAAATCAAAATTTTTGTATAAATGAAATGAATGAAAATGAAATGAAATGAATGTATGAGGATGTAGTAAGTTCACTGTTTATATTAGCCTCACTATTCACCTCAGGTAAGTCAAAATTCACGGTGTAGATATACCTAACAGTTGATTGCTTAAATAAAAATATAGCGAATAGTGCTTTCTGTTCTTTTACTGTTAATTTAATATAGTCACTGGCAACCCTGATATGGTTAGGCGGGCGGGGCGGCACATTCATTTGCTCCTCGTGATCGCTACTTCCGCTATCTGCAACCCACTTAGCGCCCGGTCGGTTCTCCTGCTGCACTTATTGTGTCATCGAGGGTGTGTTCCGGGACCAGTTGCGGATTAATGAGCCATGTACATAGAGTAGAAGTTAACTAACTAATAAACTTATAGTGAGTTTGACTACTTATACTTATTTTTGTTTCCTAACCCATTCAAGGTTGGAGGAAATATTTGTCATGAAAATGAGATATGCATAACACTGGATAGCAATTATAAATTGGATCACTTGCCAAATCAGAACTCAACTCTGATTTGGTTTTTCTTAAAAAATATAAAACTTACTACTTTCAAAGTTCTACCGAAAGTGTGTTTCATGGTGATTAAAATGAACAGGAATTTATTATGATTAAATAAATGTTTAGTCCATTTTGTTCAGTTTTTATTAAGAGTTTTCCAAAGAAGAGTATTGGTAGTGAAAACGTAACAAAAAAAAAACGCGCCTGTAAATCTATGGACAAAAACTAAGGAAATAATAATAAGTATCAGACTATCTTCGTTTTATAAAATAAACTTTTTAACAGAAAAACTAAACCGCCGCAAAAACAAGCAAAAAATAATAAACCTTTATTATCTTTAGATAATTAAATATTTGGAGTTGGTGTCACGCCAACCCAAGTAGTAAATTGGAACTCAGATCTATCAGACATGCATGGAACCGAATCCAAATATGAATTTGGTTAAAGATAAAAAAGGCTTATTAATTTTTTCAAAAAGTTATTATTTTATACTTTTTTGTGGCTACAATTGTTGTGATCTACTTACTACTCCTAACTAGCATCAAAATCTGTGAGTAAACAATCATCCCTATTTTTCCACCCTAAGGATTTCGATTCTCAGTTTATCTGAGACAAACTTTGAGGTGTACTCTATCCAATAAAACAATAATCATCAAAATCAGACTATTCTGTAAAAAGTTATGTATGGTCATACATTACAATCAATTAGTGAATCAATCATCCACTGTTTTTCTACCTTGGTTGGATTTTTATTTCAATTTTTTATGGCACCAACGTTGGAGTAAACCCTTTCTAATAAAAAAGAAATTATCAAAATTGGATTGCTCTATAAAAATTAAAGCGTGATCAAACATAAAAACAATATACGCATCGACTTAAGAAACCCCTGTTTGTTTTCGTCGGTTGAAATAGAACGTTAATCGCAACTTTATTAAAAAATTAACAAATCGTTAGCATTAAGTTTCTTGCTTGATTACACAGTAAGGTGACAGTACTTTATTATAAAATTTTAATAATGAGGAGCTGGCGAACAAAACGGTATAATTACATAAAATTAAAATTTACAGGAGCTGTATTAAATTGAATGACATACCTGCAGTGAGCTTTTGCCTTGGTTTTTAATTCATAAATTTAGTAATTTTAACACTGTTTTAGGCGATTGTGATTGAAAATTATTTGAGATTCAAATTCAACGGGCCCGATACCTCCAGACTGTAAAAAAAATGTAGTTTGACCAGATGCGTAATTATACCGTTTTGTTCGCCAGCTCCTCAATTATAAAACGCACTTTCAAATCGTTATATCTTAGGAACGGTGGCTCTTAGAAAAAAAAACCTTTCTTATAGATAATTTAATGACTCCCTAGCACGAACCATTATCGAATTCGAATAGTTTGCAAACCGAAATGTCAATGTCAAATTTTGTATGGAAACTTGAACAGCAGCGGCACAAAGTACGTAACGAGGACTAAAAATCAGTACACATTTGACAATGACATTTCGGACTCGCAAACGATATGAATTCGATATTGCTTCGTGCTAGTGGTACTGATTTGGTTAGTTATCAATACTTTCGAGATTAGCTCGTTTATACACTCAACCGCAAAGAAAACGGGTCACTTGGCTAATACCTGGGAATTCTGATTCGATTTTCTCAAAAAGTATAAAACTTGCAACTATTAAAGTTACATATAGGATGTACAGAAAGTGCGTTTCGTGATGATAAAAATGAATAAAATTTTATTCTAAAGTATTGTCAACTTGCTGTGTAATCAAGCCAGAAACACAATGCTAACGTAATGCTAATTTTTACACTTTCTGTAGCTATAAATTTGATAGTTGTAAGTTTATACATTTTGAGAAATTCAAATCAGAGTTTTGAGGTAGCAAGAGACCTAATTTCTTTTCTGCCCCGTGTAAATAATGTTGAAGGAAGATACTTAACGTTTGATATTCAATAAAAAACTTATAAATTTGCCTTTATTAGGCATAATTAAGACAAAGTTTAAATGTTTTCAACTGAACCGATTAGGTATCATACCTTACTTTTTTATGTGATTTTTGTGTAATATTTAATTGATTACACAAAACTTTCGTACAAATCCTAAACTTTCATCACAAGTTTATAATTCAATTATTATTTTATTTTATGATGGTTAAAGAAATATAAACAATTACAAACCTAAAGAACATAACGTACGTTCAATGACTGTCAAAAATTATCACCTTAACAGGATTTATACTAAATTTATATTCACTCATAACGCCATAACTTAATCTACACTTAGTAAACGGTATTCGGTATGTTCGCTGTCGATTGGCTGAATTTTCCAACCCCTACAGGAGGTGACCAATCAGGGTGCTCCGTTGTGTGCTTTAGGGGTGGAGCCAGGGGGGTTTTGAGTGAAGTATTTTTGCAAATCCATGCAGTACCGTGGAGATCGCATTGGGCGTAGTAACTTTTCTTTGGGGTCTAAAGTTTGTGCTCGTGATAAGTTCGACAGTTGAATTAAAGCCGATCCTGTTTTGTTTAAGAAAATTAAAAAAAAAATAAGATACACACGATCTTTATAAAATGAACAATGCTAACATTCACAAAATTTTTCTACTGACTAAAACGTATAGTGCATAAATAATAGAATATTGTTGAAAAGAAATTGAAAACACCCCTCAAGGACGTACAATCATTGCAAACATCCAGAATGGCCGGACCATACTTATCACCTCTTCCGGGCGATTTGCTCACCGAGTATATGTTCGGAAGACGTCGTCAAAGAAGGAACAGGACAACCTTCACCCCTCAGCAGTTGAGCGAGCTGGAGTCCTTGTTCCAGAAGACTCACTACCCTGACGTATTCCTGAGGGAAGAAGTGGCCCTAAGAATAAGCCTGTCCGAAGCTAGAGTTCAAGTAAGTACGAGGTTATCCAAGGTTTTCTTCTGAAAGCTTGGTTTTCTTAAGAAAATATTAAAGGAAAAATATCCACTCTATCCAGGTTTCAGAGATTCGAATGCGGCCACTAAGTGAAATATTTAAACACCAAGCAGTTATAATTATGTTTTAAAATGAAAGATTATTATAGTAAGCTTGGTTTTCCTTTTCTATATGGAATTTCAGAATGCTCGGTATATTCCCTGAGAATTCAAATAAAAATTAAAACTGAAGAAAGAGTGGATAAGAGAATTCCTTTCTGATCGTTTACAATCTTTTTCTTTATAAATCGTCCTGCTGGAAACTAACTGTCGAAGTAAAAGCGATGATTCTCGATTAATTTTATTCCTTGTGTATCCCATACCTGTCTTCTCTTTCCTCTTTTTAAAAATTAAATAAGTAATTTTGCATACTTAGGTACTTTCTTTAAAGAAGTCCGTGCTAAGTTAACGCGACATATTTTTTGCTCAGGATATGGGAGTCATGCGCATACAGAACGTGCCCGCACGGCGCGGCGGCGCACTGCATACTGGCGCGGAGCGCGCGGCCTGAGATATTTATATGTCGCCAATCAACCGTCGCAATATTTTTATCACCGCCGAGCGCATCCACGGCTTCTACCAACGGCACAAGCACCAACACTGGCGAAGGACGCGTAGCGCGCACATATTTACGACGATGTTGGAGCGAGACGGAAATTGTGTCGATGTGCTGTCCTTGTCTAACCATACCATGATCATATAAATAGGGGAGCCTAATTTCAATTCTTTTCTTATATCGGGGTCACAATTGGTGACCCCGATATAAGAAAAAAATCTAGTTCGTGGAGCCTGATACAATGTCGTCGGACGAAAAAGCATCGGACATTAATCTCGACGTCAGCGCCGTATCTATCCAGTCGCGGCTCTTACCCTTCTGGAGAGAGATACCCCGGGCCTGGTTCATCCAATTTGAAGCCGTGATCGATCCACTGAAGACCTCCGATGACCAGAAATTCCGTTACCTACTACAGCAGCTACAGGCCGTCGATCTCCAGCACCTAACGGACATACTTTACAACCCACCTACGACGGGAAAATATGAGAAAGTAAAGCAACGATTACTCGAGGCCTACGACAAATCGGACGTGCGGAACTTCCAGAAGCTAATCAGCGGCTTGGAACTGGGAGACCAAAAGCCCTCCCAGCTTTTGAGAAAAATGAGAGAACTCGCAAGCGGAATGATCACTGAAGAGGGGCTGAAAATAGAGTGGCTGAACCACCTACCCGCACAAGTCCGCGTCGTCCTCTCCGTAAATAACGAATCGTCGCTAGACACGTTAGCCGCGATGGCGGACAAGATGTCAGAGTACGCAGGAAGCCCCACTATCGCCGCCGTCACGTCACCAGCACCGACCTCATCACCTGCAGCTTCAACCTCCATGACACCACTGGAAGCTCTAGCCAAACAAGTGGAAAAGCTCACGCTAGAGATTGCCGAGCTACGTCGAGGAAGGCCAACCCACGAGAGACACCGGCATCGTCGCCGCCCATATAACCGTCGTTTTGGATCGCAATCCCGTTCCCGCTCGCAATCAACGCAACGTGTGCCTGGACCGAAACCCGGAGATGACAACTGGGAATGCCGCTACCACTTCCGTTTCGGAGACAAGGCAAAACGCTGCGAGTCCCCATGTTGCAGAAGAAAGAAGCCGTCGGGAAACTAGAACCGACACCGACCGTGGCGGACGTCGGTGTCCCGTACACCAGTAATCGCCTTTGTGTACACGACCGTGACACTCACGAACGTTTCCTCGTGGACACAGGCGCAGACATCTCCGTTTTGGCCGCCAATCACAAGAGAAACAACAACAAATCTGAAAGCGCCTACACTTTATACGCGGCAAATAATACACCGATCAAGACGTACGGGCAGAAAACCATCAGGCTAAACTTTGGACTAAGAAGAGACTTTACTTGGGCATTCGTCGTCGCAGATGTGAAAACCTCTATACTGGGAGCCGATTTTCTTCGTCACTTCAAATTATTAGTGGACCTGGACAAGAAGAAGTTAGTTGACAAAACTACCGAACTATCAATCGACGCATTAGAAGTTTCTACAAACACCGAATCAGTCCACATTATAAGCAACAATCAAGCATACTATGACATTTTGAAACAATACCCGGATGTCCTACGCCCTATGTCTTTGAAACAACCTGCGAAACATGAAGTTGTCCATCATATCGAAACTACCGGCCCCCCACTCTACGCCCGTCCCCGACCGCTACCCCCGGACAAGTATAAGGCAGCCAAAGAAGAGTTCGATCGCATGTTAGAAATGGGCATTTGCAAACCATCGAAAAGCCCATGGGCCAGCCCACTTCATGTAGTAAAGAAAAAAGACGGGAGACTACGCGTGTGTGGCGACTACAGACGACTAAACGCGGTCACTCAACCTGACCGGTATCCTGTACCTCGCATACAAGACTTCACATACCAACTGCATAACAAAAAAATATTCTCAAAATTGGATTTAAAAATGGCGTACTACTGGATACCAATTGCCAAGGAAGACGCACAGAAAACTGCAATTACAACACCCTTTGGAATGTTTGAATTCAACTGTATGACATTTGGTCTACGAAACGCCAGCCAAACCTTTCAAAGATTCATGCACGAGGTACTGAGAGGCATAGATGGCTGCTTCTGCTTCGTTGACGATATCCTTTTATTCGAAGAAAACGAAGAAAAAAATAAGAAACTCCTTCATCAAGTTTTACAGCGGTTGGACAAGCACGGAGTGACGCTAAACATAGAAAAATGCGAATTTGGAAAAGAAACAATAGATTACCTCGGCTACGAAGTATCAGCGGCCGGTGTAAAACCTACATCGGAACGAGTGAAAGCCATATCTACTTATCCCAAGCCGAAAACAATCGTCGAGTTACGTCGTTTCCTGGGGATGCTCAACTTTTACCGAGACTGCCTGCCACACCAAGCCGACTTTCAACATGAATTAAACAAATATTTACATAACCGAAAGAAAAACGACAAGACGCCTATAGAGTGGACACCGCAAGCAGATGAAGCTTTTGAAAAATGCCGTCAAAGCATCTCAGAAGCCACCACACTCTCGTTTCCAGTCCACGGCAGTCCTTTGGCCATCATGACCGATGCCTCAGACCATAGTCTCGGCGCTGTACTTCAACAAAAAGTAAACAATGTCTGGAAACCACTGGCATTCTTCTCCAAGTCGATGAGCGACACACAACGCCGCTACAGCGTGTACGACCGCGAACTATTAGCGATATACACGGCTGTAAAACAATTTAGAAGACTCATAGAAGGCTGTGATGTTACTATATACACCGACCACAAACCGCTTGTCTACGCTCTCAACAAGAAAGAAAGCAAGAACGACACCCCGCGCCGCGAGCGTCAACTTCACTTCATCAGCCAATTCTGTTCATCTATCAAATATTTATGTGGAGAAGATAACGCAGTCGCCGATGCCCTATCACGAATTGAAGAGATACATTGCCCAACTGTCATAGACTACAATCAATTGGCAATTGACCAGAATAACGATGAAGAACTGAAACAATTAAAGAAACAATCAAATTTGAATTTCGCCGAGATAACTTTACCACAACTTAGCCGACCAATCACCTGTGAGATGTCGACAGCCACGCCCCGCCCATATTTACCTGCGGCATATCGCTATGCGGCATTCAAAGCGCAACACGATATTTGCCACCCGGGAATCAAAACAACACGCAAGCAGATGACAACAAAATTTTTCTGGCCGTCAATGAACCAACAAGTGACATCATGGACGCGAGCCTGCATAAGCTGCCAGCGAGCGAAAGTACATCGGCACGTAAACACGCCGTTAGTACAGTTCCCGCCGTCACAAAGATTCGAACACATACATATAGATATTGTCGGCCCGCTGCGCTTATCTAATGACTATCGGTACTGTGTCACTATAATTGACCGATGCACGAAATGGCCCGAGGCAATCCCAGTCCGTGACGTCACAGCCGAAGTCGTCGCACAAGTATTATATGAATCATGGATAGTGAGATTCGGCTGCCCGCTACGCATCACAACAGACCAGGGAAGACAATTCGAGTCCTATTTGTTCAACGCACTAATGAAGAAAATGGGTATCAACAGATTGCGTACCACCGCGTACCACCCACAGTCGAATGGACAAGTTGAACGATGGCACCGAACGATGAAAGCTGCGCTTATGGCTCGCGGGGCAACAACGACTTGGACACAGGAACTTCCAACTGTATTACTGGGATTACGAACAGCGCTGCGTCAAGACAACAACCTCAGCCCAGCGCTAATGACATATGGCACCACACTCCGCATACCATCAGATTTCTTTGAACCACGAAGCTCAAAGATCGACGACGCCGAGCTTGTACGCCATCTCACTCGCACGATGACGTCACTGACGCCGACAGCGCACCGCTCACTATCAGCTGACAAGCTCTTTGTTTACAAAGACTTAGCGACGTGCACACATGTCTTCGTTCGGAATGACACCGTCAGAGCGCCACTCACACCACCGTACGATGGCCCCTATGAAGTACTGAAGCGCTACGACAAGTACTACAAAATCCAGTTACCACGACGAACCACAGTTGTGTCACTGGATCGACTGAAACCGGCCTACATCGTGAAAGAAGCGGAAACATGTTCATCGAACACCCAGACTTCGGCGCCGCCAGCTCACTCCCATACATCAGAAACTCGCCATGACTCGACCACTGCTAATCAACCTTATATCACGAGGAGCGGAAGAATAGTTAAGAAAATCGTACGCTTTTCTTAAGGGGGGAGTGATATGGGAGTCATGCGCATACAGAACGTGCCCGCACGGCGCGGCGGCGCACTGCATACTGGCGCGGAGCGCGCGGCCTGAGATATTTATATGTCGCCAATCAACCGTCGCAATATTTTTATCACCGCCGAGCGCAT